ATTCTGAAATATTTAAGAGGACTCAAATAAGATACGAATTCGTTATATTTATAAGAATTGTTTTACTGGTTTCCTTCTTTTACTAACAAGAACCACAGTTTAAAGTGTGAATACTTAGCCCGGCTGGTGTTGCTCAGTGGTTGAGCATCCACCTATGAACCAGGAGGTCAGGGTTTGATTCCCAGTCAGGGCACATGCCCGGGTTGCAGGCTCGATCCTCAGTGTGGTGCATGCAGGAGGCAGCAGATCTAGGATTCTCTCTCATTATTGATGTTTCTATTCCTCTCTCCCTCGCGCTTCCTTTCTGAAATAAATAAAAATATCTATAAGCTAGTATATAAAAGCCCAAGCGACTGGATGACCAGTAGCTATGATGTGTACTGACCACCAGGGGGCATATGCTCAACGCAGGAGTGGAAACCACAGGCATGGAAACATGGAACAGACTGATGAATCTCAGAGGGAAGGGGGGAGGGGGGAAGAGATTAGTCAAAGATCTTATGTGCATACTAGAGGCCCGGTGCACGGCCTGGCCTGAGGGGATCAGGCCGAAATTGGCTGACATCCCAAGGGGTCAAGGATTGTGAGAGGGCACAGGCCAGGCCGAGGGACCCGACTGATGCATGGTATTAAAACAAATAAAACGAAAAACAGTGTGAATATTTATACAATGTTTAATGACCTAAAGCAGTGGTCGCCAACCAGTGTCCGTGAGGTCCTAAAGGTTGGCGACCACTGACCTAAAGGGAAACAAAGGACCTGCTTTTCTGGACTAAAGCCCTTCACTTCACTCAGAGCTCAGTTCTGACTCATTAGACTCCCAGCTGGGTTCTCATCCCCGTTAGACTCCCAGCTCGGTTCTGACTCTCCTGTGAGCCTCCCAGCTCCATGAGGCAGGTGCCTGGCCTGTTTTGCACTCTCCCGCACCCCCAGGACCTCGGATGGGCCTGGCACAGTGACTGCTGGACACATGCTTACTGATGTGTGCACAGGACAGCAGGTGTGGCAAAGGGGCAGAAATGAGGACCAGCATGGCTATGGATGGGCAAAGAGTTATGAAGGCAAAGCCATGAAATCTCAACAACCTGCTGAGTGCTAACAAGGGAGATCATACATTTAATTCCAAAACAGAAAATCAGAAACTCAGGGCACGTTACCTTCTGATCTATTCCTATGTATGTCACAGTATGTTTAACAAGTTTATAACACTTTTGTACTTATTATTAGCTCCTCACAACATTTCTCCGTGCTTCTGGCACTCACTAGCAAGAATTTCTTGTGTCGCCATCTGCTCTCTCTAACTAACTTGTGTAGAGAAAGAAAAGGTTTCCAAAAAGGATTATTCTTGAAAACACATGCCAGCCTCTGCTTATCACGTAAGAGGTCTGCTTTCTTCTTTAGGAACATGCTTCATTTGAAAAAATGCTCTTTCAGCCCAGCCAGTGTGGCTCTAAGGTTGAGCATCGTCCCATGAATCCAGAGGTCACCGGTTCAATTCCCGGTCAGGGCACATGCTCGGGTTGCAGGCTTCATCCCCAGTAGGGGGAGTGCAGGAGGCAGCTGATTGATGTTTCTCTCACATCGATGTATCTATCTCTCTCTCCCTTCCTCTCTCTGAAATAAATGTTTTTAAAAATATATTTTAAAAAATATATTAATATAAACTCTAGAGCCAGTCTGCCCAAGTTCAGACAATATTGCCACCATTCACTAACTCCTGACCTTGGGCAAGTCCCTTAACCTCTGTGTCTCAGTGTCTCCCTGGTAAAATGGGGGTCAAAATAACACCCACCCCATCGAATTTTTCTGAGCATGTGATGAGTTAATACATATATGTAAAGGTTAAATGATGCCTGGCATATAGTAAGTGCTACATGCATGCTAACCATTTTTGTTAGTTCAAATTAAGTATAGCCCTAGCTGGTTTGGCTCAGTGAATAGAGCAGGCGTCCTCAAACTATGACCCGCGGGCCACATGCGGCCCTCCGAAAACATTTCTCCGGCCCGTCGGGTGGTTTGCCGCCGCTGCCTGTCCTGCTTAGCAGCCAACTCGTCCTGGGCCCGCAGTGCGCATGTGTGGAATGTCTGAGGGACAGTGAACTGGCCCCTGTTTAAAAAGTTTGAGGACCTCGGGGATAGAGCGTCAGCCTGTGGACTAAAGAGTCCCGGGTTCAGTTCTGGTGAAGGGCACAGGCCTAGGTTGCAGACTCGATCCCCATTAGGGGGTGTGCAGGAGGAAGCCGATCAATGATTTTCTCTTGTTATTGATGTTTCTATAGCTCTTGCCCTCTCCCTTCCTCTCTGAAATCAATAAAAATATATTTTTAAAAAAAACCCTCCTTGCAAAGTTTCCTGCTAAGTATTAAACACTAAAATATTCTCTTTTAAAATGATGCTAGATTTTTCTGGAGGAAGGAAAAAAAATAAAAAACACAATGTTTTAATCTATAGCCCACCTCAATTAAAGATGATTTCAAAGTACTGTCTGGGTGAGAATCTAAGACCATATGCTAGTAAGTGGGCAGTAAACTGTCCCACGCTGGGACTCACAAACAAGCAGACACCAGCCAGGGCTCAGGCACGGCATGCAGAGGACAGCGGACTCACCTCGAAGTTGTACTTCTTCATCCGGCTGAGGCGCCGGCAGTACAGGTAGAGCATGCCGGTGCTGCTGCCCACGGCAATGTAGTCCCCGCTGGTGTCGAGGGCTGTCAGGTAGACCGCCACAGAGCGGAAGCCCTTCTGGATCTTCGTGGGAATGGCGTTGAGGAGATAATACAAAGGGCAGAACTCCCTGAACGTAACAGGCTCCGATGGGGACGCCATAGCCACGGTTCCCACGGCTGATCTTCAGGGAGGGAAAGGAGTGTTGGCTTGGCATCGAGGGACACCTGGGGGCTAGAGAACAAAGAGAAGTCATTGGGTAGTGAGAACAGGAACTTTCAGGCGGTAGGAACCACCTGGAGCCGCACTAAACAGAGGAAGCATCCAGCTGTCATTCGGACCACTTGTTATTGTTGTTGTTTGGAGCATTTTAATTCAAAATGCACTTCATTATGTACTGGCCCCTGTAATTTGCATTGTGATAAATACTGTGGAAGGGGTGGAAAGAATATTAAAAACAGTTCTTACTCCCAAGTAGCTTATGATCTAGCCAGGGAGCCAAAGAAACTGAAAATATGCAACTCCACACAGGCTCAGGTGTGCATCCGGGGGTCCTGATGAGAAGAGGGAAAGGGGTGCGGTCAGAATGGGACAGGCTTTGCGGAAAACATCCTGAACGCTGATGTCTGCCAGGAGGATGGAAGGTGGACGCAGCAGGGACGACTCCGCACTAGAACAGCGGACCAGCCCCACGCAGCAGGCTGGGCAGCCAGCGGGCGGGAAGCCTGTAGGGCCTCACCCGGTCCTCCCTGAGACCCACACCTCTTGGCACTTTGGATTCAAAGCTTCCTTAGATACCCAGTCCTTACACAGCGCATTACAACTGACAAAGTGACTCATTTAATCCTCACCCTCCCCTACAGGCCAGGTGGTGGCATCTTCCCCAACTTTATTTGTTTTTTATGTTTTTAAATTGATTTCAGAGAGGAAAGGAGAGGGAGAGAGAGACAGAAACATCAATGATGAGAGTGAATCATCGTTCAGCTGCCACCTGCAGGCCTCACACTGGGGATGGAGCCCACAACCCGGGCATGTGCCCTGACCGGGAATCCAGCTGGGACCTCCTGGTTCAAAGGTCAACGCTCACCACTGAGCGCACTGGTGGGGCCGAACCCAACTTTAGAGGAAGGTACAGAAGGCCAGAGGCTCAAGACCAAGGGCTGGGACCGGAATCTAGGGCTGCCCTCCAAGTCCTTCCCTTCCCCAGGTCACAGGCACAGCTCTGACCGACCGGCAGCTACAGGTGGGCGCTGCGCACGTGACCAGGCTTGGGGAGCGCCTGACCCGGCTGGGGGTGCGTTTAGCCCTTGGGTCCACGGAGACCTCAGGCCCTCGCTGAGGCGCCCGGGGTGCTGGGTCGCAGCCTGTTCCAGCGGTGGGTCCCTCCGTCTGCGGAGCTGACCTGACGGACTGACCGCCAACCTTCTCCAGTGACACTCGCCAGGGGCCTTGCCGGCCCGCCTTCTC